GGTTCTCACTAAACCATATCCCTCAACACAACATCCAAACGTTCCTTGAACACCTCCAGGGAAGGGGACTCCACCACCTCCCTGGGCAGCCCATTCCAGTGCCTGACCACCCTTTCAGAGAAGTAGTATTTCCTAATATCCAGCCTGAAATTCAGCCTGAATTTCATTTTTATTATTTACCCAGCAGCTCTACATTAATGTATTAAAAACATGGGGAATGATACAGACGTCAGCCTTTTTATAGACAGGCACCCACACCTGTTTCTCAGCACCCCAGGCAGTGGTTCTTAAGCTTTCTGGACCAGTAGAGCTCCACCAGCATTTCTCATGAGGTATCATAATCAAACCTCAGGTGGAAGGGGTATTAGCACAAGAACATTTCCAGTCCCTACTGGGTTGGCTGGTTTCACAAAACATCTCAGAACTTGGAGGCACTGATCTAAATAACACAGGCAGCTCTTCTAGTGGCAGTCAAAATAGCCCTGGTTTTTAGAGTTATGAAGCTTGGACTACCTATGTTAATCTCTAAATGTGCACAGGAGGATGTAAGCAGAGCCACCTAGATTTTAAAAATAACCTGGAACTACAGAGGTCTCTTCTCTAGCAAATGGGACCTACCTCTGTATCCCAGCCTGCACTGCTTACTTGGACTCACTTGCATTAAAGTCAGTGGGAGACACCAAAGTCAACCCAGAGGTAGGTAGGTGCAAAGCTGATAATAAGAGCAAGATACTTGATTTGGGACTTGTAGCTATAAAAAGGCAGCAAGAAAGAAATGAGCAATTCTGTTCCAGTGTTTTAATCACACGGCAATAAAATGTAAAAATTCCAAGTTCAAAGAAACAAAGCCCATGTTCTTTTTGATTTAAATGTATGAGCTTCATCTGTTCGAGGCTTGTGGCTGATCCTCCCACTATAGTTACACAGCCCTTATCTGTGTAAATAACAGCACCAGAATTGGGTCTATGATGGTTTTTAAAGATCATTCCTTGATCTAATTACCTTTTACTCTTGGGAAACCTGAATACTTTTGAGCCATATGAATCTGAAAAAAAATATCAGCTAATATCACATAGTAAAAGAAGTGAGAAGGGATATGAACCAAAACCACAAAACCTTACATCTTCTGACACTGGAAACTGCATTAACTTTTAACATGAGTGATCCCTGTAATTCAGTGGACTGAAAAGAATAATACACTTTCAATGATGTGAGAAAGCAGAAGGATATTCAAGCTTGAAAAGTAAATATTTTCCCAAGTTTACATTTAAAAAACTATTAAACTCTCAGTAAGAAGCAATTTTAAAAGATTTAAGGTTGAGAGGTACAATCCATTTTTTAAAGCTCTTTCACCTTTTTCAAGGAAAAGAAGAATAAGTATGCCTTTCCCACCTGCTCCTAAGGACTATATACTTCTTCCTAGTGTACAGACCTAAACCTGCACCTGCAAGCACAGCCATGCTCACTCTCAGAGGAAGAAGGGCAACGAAGCTGTTGCTGCTGGAGCACAACTGAAGCAAGCCAGGGTTTTGATTTGAGGCTGAAATGGAATTTTCCAGTCTTTCATGGTGTCTTCCTTTCCATCGCAAAATAATTTTCCTTTTGTAAGTACCACTGAAAATGAATGTGCAAGAAGTGATTGCCACTTCAGGCCTGAAAATCCTATATGAAGTGTCTTTAGCAACCAGCAGGCCTAAGAAACCAGTGGCAATGATAATCAGAAGCAAGACCTGCTAGCTGTGTGAAGGGTAGATGGAAAGAGAAAACAGCTGGGCACTTCCCTCAGATTACCACCTCAAGGCACCCATCTCCATGGTGCTACGAGACTCAGTGGGATGACTGGCAGTGTTCTGAAGGAATGCTGGCTTAGTGTCCTGGAAATACTGTGGATGGGACTCTCTTGGAAGATGCTGCTAAGTCTACACTCAAGTTGGTGGAAATCATCACTCCACAGCTCATACTGACATTGCAGGGCTGGCTCTACCACCTGCTGACAGCGAACAGCCTGCAAGGTACATCAAATGCAAGAACGTGGCAGATGCTTAGCAAAGCATTCAGTTAAAGGACAAAACAAAACACAAAATCGGTTACTCCTGCAAAACCAGGTGCTTGGAACCAGAGAATCATCAGAATGAACTCTGGCTCAGCTATGGAGGAAGACACACAGAAAAGTCAGAGAAATCCACTACTTTCCTATTGTGAAGGAAGCATCAGAGGAGCAGCAGGAGTGCCAGTGTCCTGACTGTGCTACAAATCACCTCAATGAAATCCCAATGCAAGCACACACAAAAATACCAAGATCAGTTCTCCTAAACAAACTGCGCTCTGCTACCTCTCATCTTTGTGGTGCCTAGCCCTGCAAGCATCCAGCTCTTTTATCACAGAGTTAGGTGACAGAAGGCCAAAACAAAGGTCTGTCACCATCGAACTTTCCATGTGCCGTGAATGCATTGTTTGAAAAGACAGAGGACTATTTTACTCTGTAATGAAGAAACAAGTG